AAAAAAAAAAAGAGAAAAGAAAAAGAAAAATTTTTTTTTTCAAAACATTACTTAATAATATGTCAAAAATAAGAGGTTTTTATTTTGTGACAGGTTTCTCCTAAAACATCTTATTAAATATTGGCCTATCCCCCTCATCAAATTTTTTCTTCTTTTTTTTTCTCTTTTTTTATTTTTCTGTTCGACAAGAAATGGAGAAGAAAGAAAAGAAATGAGGCTAGCAGAAGTCCTTAGCGGTTTGATTAACTTTTCAATAAGGCAATCAGGAGTTCACTGATACTGCTCGCCCCCCGTTTTGCCAGTAGTTTTGGAGTAAACAAATTGTTTTTGTTATTTCCTTACATATAACCTGCTTTAACAATTTATTTCTTCAACTGGGCATGAAATTTTCAGCAGATAAGAATGCTCAAAAAACTTGATCACTGCTATCAGCAGCAGTAGCAGCAACAGCAGCAGCAATAACGGCAGCAGTTTATTTTGTGACAGGTTTCTCCTAAAACATCTTATTGAATATTGAGTATATAATATACTGCAGACAAGCAAAATTTTGCTCAGATATCTACCCAAAATTTGCAAATATTTTATTAAGTATTTACCAATGGCGAGACAATTCATTTGAATGTTTAACACCGTAGAAACAGTACTCAAAAATTACAGTCAATGAGTTTACAGATAAAAAAAAAAATGGAACAAATAAATAAACCTACTTCGGTTATCTGTTTTCAACACCGCCACCTGTCTCCTGTTGTTTTTTCTGATGACCAATAAACTGCTACCAAGTCTACTGATTTTACGGCAAAATTAATTGCCTTATAACTTGAAACCTCTTTTTTTTTCATCTATTGAATAATTACATTTTGTTCGGCTCTAATTTAGAAAGTCAAATTATCTACTTTGTTGAAGTCTTTCAAAAACTTTTACAACCAAGACAGAATAAAAATTTTGCTCAAAAAAAAAAGCATTTGAATCTGTCAATAGCTCTGTCAATAACTGTTATAAAATTGCATATCTAAACTTACCCATCTCGAAATAAATGCAAAAAAAAAATTAATTAACTTTTTTTTTTATATTACAGATAAGATACTTTTTTTTGCAGATAACTTTTTAGAGGCTTTTTCCTTTTCTTCAACTTGAAAATTTTTATATTCGATTATTTCGTTGTCTGCTTACTTCCAACAGCAAAAGAAATTAAACGAAAACCCATGTACACAAAATATGTGTACAATTTTAATTGTATCTTAATACCATTACTAATGACTATAAAAATCTTTTCTTTTTTTTGTCATCTTCAAGATAAAAAAAAGTTAGAATTTAATTTTCAGCAACTAATAAGTTTTGTTAAGGTCATCTTAAACGCTGCTAAGCTTTACCGACTTTTCAAGCCTAAATATGTCTAAAGTATCGGTAATAAAGCAACAGATTAACAGCAATAAATTTTCCAAGCCAATAAACACTGATTTTGAATAGATTTATAGTGATTGAGGCTGGAGAAAGAGGAGTAGTTAAATGTCGCTGCAAGTCGCATAAATTTTCTATGGTTTGTATTTAAGTTGACAGTAAAATAGATTAAAAATCTATTAAAGAAAAAAAAACTGGAAGACGATGATGATAGTGATGATGACGAAGAAAAAAGTTGCTATAGTCAACAGTAACGTCAAACAGTAAACTTTAAAGTTTTGTCCCTTTTTTACCCCCTCTCACCTTCCGAAAAACCTTATGTAATCATTGATGGCACAAACTTCCGTCGTCATATATCCGCTTCAGTTTTGTGGATTACCAAAGGAACTGTTCATTTTATCAACCATTTGCTTTTTTTTGTGGTTATAAAAAAAAATTTTTTTTTGTTGCTACTGTCGCGTACTTTCTGTTTTTATTTCCATTTATCGATAAAACTGTAGAAGAAAAATTTTGTTGTTGTAGAAGCAGTTTTTTTTACAGTTTTTATTAAACATATCAAAAGTAGAAAAATTTGATA